AATGTGTTCTATTTGATTAGTCCAATATCAAAATCAGGAGCAGTGCTTATTGCTAACATTAGACTGACAGGGATCACAATTCTATTGTCCAGAACAGCATTCTTTCAACCTGGATACAAAATAAATGAAATAACAAAATATGGAAGCTCCATGATTTAAAAAAATGATACATTGAGCAAATGAATCAGAGCAGGCAAATGTGCCCTGCACCTATGGAAAGATAAAATTCTTGCATGTGACTGAACTCTTGTTTTCATTTTTCCCCTGCTTATCTTAATTATCATTACTCTTTCTCTCCAGGGTTGTTTTTTTCTTCCTCATTCTGAGCTGATTATTAAAAATTTCTATCTGTTTCTCGTTAGCAGTGAGAGGAGAGGGGTCTTCAGAGTGCCAGTCTCTCATATACTGGCAAGGCAGCTGACTACCGTAGCTCTCAGTGCCCACTAGAACATCACTTCCTACCAAAACCCTCTGCCCTTCCCAACAGATGGCACAAATATTATGGAACCAGAAGAGAACGTGCTGACCGAGACCAGGGCAGCACGCATCGCCCGGTACAAGGCTGAGCGACACTGCGAGTTAGCCGAAAAAATTAGCAACCTTGGAGAAAAAGACCATCGTCAGTTCCAAATTCTTGAGAAAGGAAAAGGAAAATGAACCTTTGGAAAATTGATATTCTCTTCCAGAAGGGTCCGAAGCATTGGAGAGCCTTGTAAGCAGGTCGACACTGCACGGATCTTTCAAACTTCGGGGAGTAAAGGACTGCCTAAAGAAATTGTTTTGCATAAAGCCAGAAGAGGACACCATGGAAAAGAAGAGTTCTTCCTATGTCCAAAGTTTAAACACTAGGAATGAAGGATGGAAATCAGGGTACAGGCTTGGCGATTCTCACTTCCATGGGATTGATGTCTGCAGGAAAGGAAAGGTGACAGATGCTTTAGAGAAATCTCTGCCTCTCCCACAGCGATCCTCTATCCTTGAGACCCAAATCACTGGGCTATCTCCACGGGCCAGGTTAGTATTTGTGTTTTCAATCAACACGTGAGTGGTTCTTGAAGTTGATGCAAAGGAATCCTGTGTCTCAGAGAAGTTTAATGTTCTTGGAGAATGTTGTCATGTGGTCTTTGTAGTTCTATTTTATTCTATATCTGCAAAAGAATATGTCATTCTAATTTGTTATACAGTCAGCTCCATTGGTTGAATACTGAACTGGAGATTAGTAAACTGTTGGCTTGTTCAGCATGTTATCCTGAGACAGTTAAGCAACACTCAAGAGAGCAGGAGGTTGTAAGGGATTGCATAGTCCTCCTGTCGCAGTGGGATGGGAATATCATCATCATCATCAAGTCAACACACCACCTTGCCTTGAATCCTTCATTGTTTCTGGGTTAAAAGTCTTCAACAATATTCCTCACAGCATTGGTGGAGTACCATCGCTACATTGAGTGCATTGTTCAAAAGATCATCTCCAACTCAACTTGGCAACTACCTATAAGAAGTAAATTGCCAGTGATGCTCACATCCCAAAGAATGCTTAAATAAAAATAAAATATGTCATTGGGAACTCTTGACCAGTTTGAAATGCCCCATGCTACCTTCTGGTAAATGAAATGAGTGACTTTTGTTCTGTTTCTCTCTTTGTTCTCACTCTCTCTCCCTCTCTCTGTCTTTATGTCTGTCTGTCTCTATTTCACTTCTGCATTTCTTTCTGTCTCCCAATTCTTCTCTGTATCTATTTGTCTGTCTTTGCCTCTGCCTTTCTCTTTCTGTCTTCCTCTCTGTATCTCTGCCTCTACTCCTGCTTTCTTCTGTACATTTCTCTCTTGATTTAAAACTGTTTGTTTATCTCTCTCTCTCCCCAACTTTCTATCTCTGTTGCTCTTTTACTTCTTTCTTTCTCTTTGCTTTTTGACTCTGTCTCTCATTTCTTTTTATGCTCTCTTCCACTTTTTCTCTTTGACTGTTTCTCCTTTGAAAACTCCTCTTTGTCATCTCCTGTTTCTACTTTCACTCTCATTCTGCCTCTCATGCTCTCTTTCCCTGTGTCTCAAACAGAACTTTCTGTTACATTTTTAATTTACATGACAATGATCCCAAAGAAGAAAATAAAACTTTCTATCATATGGCTAACTAAAAGCCTGTTACATGCAGCAGGACTGATACAGTATAGATGCATATCAAAGGAACATAAACCTGTGGAGAAATAAATCTACATATATTAATCATGGTAACATTGTTAGTCATGCTACAATATTTAATGTCATGCAGCTTTCCTTTCCAAGTAGCAAATCCATCACTTGGAGTTTAATCATAAAGGACAGGTGATATAATTTGTTGGAATGTTAATCTTTCATTTCTACCAGTGCTAGGTTAATGCTTCACAAAGACGTTCTTCCAGCTATGTGTAATGTCTGTGCAGCTTGAGCTGTTGGGCAGGTGCCACAAGTAATTAATGTCCCAGTGGTTTTATATTTCTGCTTCTAATCCAGAATTCAGTGGGGGAGGGGTGGGGGGAGAACTCTGTGGAAAATTACCCTTGGCATTTATTCTCCATTTCAAAAAATTTGGGATGAAAAGTATTGGGAAGGAGGGCCGGTTTGGAGAGGTCTTGCTTGTGAAACAAACCATTGGGCTCAAGTTGTTCAATTGTGTCGGCATGATAAATCCCATTTGTTTTGTGTGAGCCATGATGCCGTTTATCAGTGTCGGGCAATGGATAATGATGTTTTGCAGGCATCCAGTGGACACTGGTATCAAACAGTCATTAGCCAGCTAACTCCATGTGAGTTCATTTACTGATGGTAAACATTATGCCCTCTCACTTCAAAGTTGCTTGTTAACATAAGATGAGATACATTTTTAAAAAAAAACAATTAAGCAAACTTGATTTGGGGACACAAGGTCTAGAAAGCAGATGCTGATCTCAAAGCTGCCAGGTTGGAATCAATTCCTCTTACATTCCATCGCCTGTAATACTTTTCTACTTTAATACTTCTGTAAACTACAAATTCCTTCTCAAAATATTGATTTATGGTCAACTTGATGGAGTTCTACAGACCAGTGACAAAGGGTAACCCACAACATTTCTGATTGGCATGGCTAACAATAAATTTACCATCCACCCTACCATTTGCTCCATTTTCTCAGCCTTCCTATTTTTGCTCCCCCTTTACTTATTCGATAAGCCTAACAATAAAGAGATAACAAGGTGTAGAGCTGGATGAATACAGCAGGCCAAGCAGCATCAGAGGAGCAGGAAGGCTGACGTTTCGGGCCTAGACCCTTCTTCAGAAATGAAGAAGAAGTGTCTAGGCCCGAAACATCAGCTTTCCTGCTCCTCTGACGCTGCTTGGCCTGCTGTGTTCATCCAGCTCTACACCTTGTTATCTCAGATTCTTCAGCATCTGCAGTTCCTGTTATCTCAGCCGAACAATAAAGTTAGTTTACAATTCTCAGCCGAGGCACTGGGTTACAACTCCTAGGAGGGAGTTCTGGGTTACAATTCCCAGAAAAGGCCCTGGTTACAATTCCCAGCAGGGAAGCTCTGGGTTACAATTCCCAGCAGGGACCACTGAGTTACAATTCCCAGCAGGGAGTTCTGGGCTACAATTCCCAGTAGGGAGCATAGTGTAACAATTCCCAGCAGAGGCACTGAGTTACAATTGAGGAGGCACTGGCTTAAAATTCCCAGCAGGGAGCACGGGGTTACAATTCCCAGCAGGGAGCACGGGGTTCCAGTATCCAGCCGAGAGCATGGGATTTACAATTCCTAGCAGAAAGTACTGGGATACAATTCCCAGCAGAGAGCACGGGGTTTACAATTCCCAGCAGCAAGCGGTAAAGCCTATTGCACTGCAATTCCCAGCAGGAAACACGGAGTTACAATTCCCAGGAGGAAGCAACTGATTATAGTCAAAAGATGGGAACCATGCCTGACTTCCCTCTACCCCTGCCCCTTCCGAATTCGAATTTTCAAGTATTTTGATCCACTAAATGTGTTGTCTTGTGAAGATTTGGTCTAGGGAAGTCAATATGTAAAACATATAATTATAATAACTAATAAATCCAAACAGGAAATTAAGAGAAATTGTATTGACTCAGAGAGTAATTAGGATTTGGAATATACTGCAGGGAGGATTGAGACAAACAACACATGCGTTGAAGGGTAATCTCAATAAACACATAGAGGACTGTAACAAAAACAAAGTTACTGGAAAAGCTCAGCAGGTCTGGCAGCATCTGTAGAGGAGAAAACAGAGTTAACGTTTCGGGTCTGGTGACCCTTCCTCAGAACTGATGGTGGCTGGGAAAATGTCAGTTTATGTGCAGAAAATAGAGAGGTGGGTGGGGTAGGGAGTAAACCATAGGATAGAGCCCAAAGAGAGAGAAAGACAATTGGACAGACAGAAGAGTTGCTAACGATCAGGCTGGGAGGGTGAATAGTTGTTAATGGGGACTGTTAGTGACTAACAACAGGGGGTGTGTAGTGGCAGGCTATGTGGTAACAAGGCCTGGTGTGTGGGGCTGGGACATGGGAGAGTTTAGGCCCTAAAATTATTGAACTCAATATTGAGTCCAGAGGGCTGTAGGGTCCCCAAGCGGAAAATGAGGTGTTGTTCCTCCAGCTTGCATTGGGCTTCACTGGAACACTGTAGCAAACCAGAGACAGTGATGTTGGCCAGAGAGCAGGGTAGTGCATTGAAGTGTCACCGGACCCGAAACGTTAACTCTGTTTTCTCCTCCACAGATGTTGCCAGACCTGCTGAGCTTTTCCAGCAACTTTGTTTTTGTTCCAGATTTACAGCATCTGCAGTTCTTTTGGTTTTTACATAGAGGACTGTGTTGGTTGAGTTAGTTGGTCTGAGTGAGGGTGCATATACAGCATGAGTTGTAGCAAGGTCCTGTTGCCCTAAAATGCCTGTCTCTGTGCTCAAAGTATTTTGGAATTCCCCAGCAGGGTCCCAGTGTAGCTCTGAAAGAAATTTTCTTTTCTCTGGTAGCTACAATCCACAGGTACCGGTTCACAAACCACCGACAATCCGGAAGGTCTCCTGTTACGGCAGCAATGGCACACAGCGTCCTGTGGTGGATACGAGAGTCTCTGTGGGCTGTCTCCGCAGCAATTTCCTGGAGAAGAGCAACTGCTGCAGTGAGCTGAAAGTGTAGGTGCCGAGGCTTGCTGTGCTGTTCCCTCTGACTTACACATTGCTACATTTCAGTTGCGAGCATTAATCCCGAGCAGCTCTCCTGGTTTGTTTGGCCAGCATTAGAAGCCATGTAGGACATTATTTTAGTTCACCATTAGAGTCTTTAAACACACCGTCACGATGTAATAATGATCGAAGAGTTATGTGTTTTCCTAAGTATGTAATCACTGAGGATAAATTCCTGAGCATAGTTATTGAGTAACTAAATCCCAGTCTGCAGCCCAAATTTTTTGTTGCTTATTTAGGTAACAAAGAAGGCTTACAGCCAGCAAGTATTGCCGTGTCTAGTTTACAGCTGCATTACCATGTGTCTTGTCTGCTACAGAGGCAGAATGTAATTGTGTACAGTGTTGTTCAACATATTAGCAATTAGCAATAAGTAGATAAGCGAAACACATGGCCAATTGCATTTCAGATTAGCATTAAAAAATTGACTTCTAGACATTGTGGTTGGACATGTGACCTCGATATCCATGCTTCTGGCAATTAATTGTGAACCCTAACCTTTCAGTGTGTTTGTCAGTACAGCAGAATGTGCAACAGCTTTTATTGATTCATTGCTGTGAGTATTTTGCTTCCTTGGTTATTGAACAATGACAGATGTTTCTTAGGTAAATATACACGCCTGAAGTATATTTTGTGTGGATTGCCTTTTCTACTAAAACTGCTGCAAGTATTTACAACAATATCAAGACATGTGGCTAATATTTAAGGACTCAACTTCATTTGCTAAAAGTAATGTGTTCCGTTGTTTGAAATTGTTAAAGACACTAGCACATGAGCATCTTTAAACATGAACATAATCACTGACCAACTTCCACTCGGAGACCCCTGACTGACAATTACTGGAGCTCACTGATACTGGCTCCAGGTGTTAAGTGCTCTGGTTGGTTTTGAAGGAAGCATTAATCTGTTGGGACATATGGGAGAGCTGGTGAACTGCTGATCCAAGCTCTTAACAGATTCCAGAATCCCTAGTTGCCAGCTTTACTGATTCTCAGTGGCTTTGAAAAATGGATTACACAGACTGGTTTGAAAGGGAAGATTGCACCATTGTGACCTTTTAACAGATAGTTTTCTCAATCAGAGTCTTTGCTTTAACTTGTGAAAATCTAGAATTAACAGCGACTGAAGTGTGAGTTGATCCTAATCCTTATTCTACATCTCCTCAAGTAGAGATAAATGGTGATTTTTTTACTGATGCCAATTAACTCATGCAGTAGTTCCCTTTCTCATTCCCTTCCTTCACTTCCATGAAGATGCACAGGCAGTGCAAAATAAGTTTAATTCACTGTTTGGTTTTATATATTAAATGATACTACATGTCCCTGACTGGTTGCTGCCATCTAGGGCTCAGTTCACACAATAATTTACCTCCTTCCACCACAACAAGCAACGTCCAGACCAGTTCACAAGTGGGCTCCATTGTCTCAGATCACCAGAATTTCTCTGGGGCCTATCTGTAGGGATAGCCATTTGAACATGCAGTTTACAGAGGCCATTCTAATGAAGTCTCAGGCTCTGCAGTGACTCAGATGCTACTGTTGAGACGATGAGTAAGCAGCTTGTTCATCAACAAATGTATAAATCCACCCTAGGGATCATAAGATAGTCACTAACAATTGCAATAATGAAATGTCTTTCGCCAGAAAGTAGGCAGTATGTGGAATCTACTACTGCAGCGATTACTGACAGGAACAGTAGAGATGACTTTGTGGTATGTGGTAGTGTCCCTACCTTTAAGCCAGATAGGCCCAGGATCAAGTCCCACTTGTTCTGGAAGGAGTTGGGGGTAACACATTAGAAAAGTTTGATTAAAAATATCAACAGCCCAAGGAAGGGCTAAGTGCTATTTGGCCCTGCTCTATACTATAGGTTCATGTGATGCAGTAGTAATGTCCCTACCTCTGAGCCAGGAGACCTGAGCTCAAGTCCCACTTGCTACAGAGGAGTGTAATCCCACCTTTGAGCAGTTTGATTGGGGGAAAATGTCTTAATGCCTTTATAGGGAATTCAGGTAGAACTACGATGGAGAATGGAATAGAAGGATATGCTGATGAGGTTAGATGAAGTGGGGAGGGAGGAGACACAGGTAGAGCATAAAGGCATGGAAACATTGTTCTGGATGCCTTGTTTTCGTGTAAATTCCACATGATTGCCTCCAACCAAGTTGGATTACCCATGTATTATAATCAACACTTAGTGTACAGGATTAATGCAAATGAAATGCCCTGTTTACTCTTACATTCCAACTACTACATAGCCATGGTTTCCATTTGGATCCCTTCATTAAACCTTCAGTTTCATTTTTTGTTCTTATTTTCTCCTCCCTCACCATTAATCATTTCCCTTCCACATGCACACAAACATGGCCACCCCCACTTTCCATGTTGGTTTCTGTAAGGCAACCATGAGGAGGTCACGGACTGTTTACCAGAGTTTAACAGGAATCTTTTACAGAACAAGTTTCACAAGGATCCAACTACTTGTGACATAACCTTTAAACTAAGCAAAGTTCTCTTCATTGTGATACACATCTGTTTGGAGGGCCAACCAAAAACAGCTGAGCAATGCAGAAGGAAAATTAAATGTAGATAAAAAAGATTAAAGGGAATGGGGTGTGACAAAAACTCCAAATGATAAGTGACACCTCAGGTACAGAACTATTAGAACTCCTCAGGCCATTTTTCTGAGAAGTACGATGACTAAAAAAAAAGTGGCAGTGGGATAAATGATATTGATTGATCACTGCAGTGACTCCACCTACAACATGTGTACAAGAGCTTTATGTGAAATGGCAAAAGGGAATGAATGCGAGTCTTCACTCAATGTCCCTTTGCTGAGGAGCACAGTGGCAGATAGTTTCGTAGATACCTATTAAACCGGGTTTTCTGACTTAGGGGCAGGGACACTATATAACCAGCCATTATATAACCAGCAGCATACAGTCACCATTAGGCCAGTCTTTGTTTTTAAACTGAATGCAACTTTCACCATCTAACCTGATAGGAAATTGGGCCCATGTCTCTAGAACATTAACAGTGGATTGCAAATCATTAGGCCAGTGACAATACCACTGCCTCCCCCTAAATTGTAATTCAAATATCACTGTGGGTGAATTTGAACCTATACCTCCAGAACATTAACCTGAGGCACTTGACCGCAAGTACAATGGTATTACCATTAAATTGCCAATGTCTTGTGTGGATGGCATTATGCAGTGCAATAATTTGCTTCTATTCATGACTTGGCTGTTTTACCCCTTTGAATTTTATTCTAACCGCTGTTACTTACAGTATGGATACTAACTGACAGAGCAAGGGGCATTCGGATGCTTTACTTTGTTCATGTTTTATTTATTTCAAAAATATACTTTAGTCATAAAAAATATCTTTATTATGTATACATAGTCACAAATGCAGTTTGGTTCCATACAGTAGCATATCAGTGAAACAAAAACATTGGAATTCGACTCTATCCAACAAACCAAACACATCGCTTACATGTACAAGACTATATTTACATGCATTTAAGGCATAACTAAACGGACCCCCATTTAACTTTGGCGGAAAGACATCAGATGATGATCTTTCCCCATTGCACCTTGGCAGCAGCTGCCTTAAACTTCAGTGCGTCCCTCAGCACGTAGTCCTGGACCTTGGAATGTGCCAGTCTGCAACACTCAGAGTCAACTCCTGGCTCTGTAAGATCAACAAGTCTTGGGCATACCAAAGAGTGTCCTTTCACCGAGGTGATGGTCCTCCAGGCTCATGTTTAATTCAAGCAGCAAATCCCGACGGATTAATCCCTTCCTTCCTTCTGCCTTTTACTTTCCTCACACGGTGAATTGCTTTTCCCTTCACATTCATGCTGTCTATATTTTGCTCTCTCTGTCTTTCTCTCTTCTTCCTTACCTAGTGCTGATGAAGGTAACATAACGCAGGGCCTTGATTTAGCAGCAGCGCCTAGCTTGGAGGTACGTCGGAGGCCTAGACGATACATTGGCCCAGGCGTGAATCGCAAAACCTCTGATCGTTTCAAGACACAGCCCCTCACAGTGACTGAACGGTGAGGTACAACTGGGCACGAGGCTCCTATACAAGTGAAACTTCAATAATTCAATTAAGTGGATGGAGGTTTTAATCCAGCTTTCATTCTCATGCTGAATAATATTTGAAGCAGAAAACATTTGAACTGACTGTTCTGCAATATTTTTAACCGCACTGGTAAAACTATGACACTTCCATTAATCAATCCTGCCCTCCCTCATCACCAGGTTTCTTCAAGGTGCTGGCTCTTCCAAGGCTGCAAGTTCATGTGCAATCCTCAATAGTGCATGCTGATAGGCTGTTCAACTGTTGAGGCATCACAGTGGTGTCCCACTCTTACATAGATGCAGAGCTGGATATTTATTGATTTGTGGGCAGTGACTATGATCAGAAGGATGGGAATGTCAGTCCCACCCTGCTCAAGGGACTTTGAGCCCAGATATCAAATCCAATCTCCAGCCACAACTGACATCACCATACAATATGGATAGGATGTTAAAAGCGGGGACTTTCCAGTCTGGGAGTCTGAGTGCTACACTGAGCTACTCGGAGATTTAACCAAGTCATGATGTAACATGTTATCAAACTAATCAATCGAGCTGTTTGCAATGGAGCAAGCCCTAGAGGGCGTGGTTATATGAATGGGATGACTGTGTGGCAGAGTTTTTCTATGATATCTCAAACAAAAATGCAAATTAGTAGCTAAAAAGGCCATTTGGCTCCTCAAACCTGCACTGTCATTCATTCAGATCATGGCTGATGTGACAACCACGTTCCCAACTACCCCAGTAACCTTTCACCATTTGTTTGTCAACAATCAATGTACCTCTGCCCTAAAAATTTGGAAGGACTTTGATTCCATCTAGATGACTCATTGAGTGACAGTCCTGAAGTGATAATGTGACAGGATTTATACCCGAATACGTGAGGCCTAATTTTAACCCAAACCCTCTGGCAAACGCTCCACCTGATATTTCAAGCAGATGTCTGTATGTTTTCAAAACATTAACCAGGAAAGAAAGCACATTATTCAATTAATTCCTGTCTTTTGCTATAAAAACGTTGACAGCTATTCAACTGCTGAGGCATCACAGTCATGCCTCATTCTTACCTAGATGCGGGTATGAATGCTTACGGGTTAGTAGGCAGTGACAATGAGCTGTGCCTGAAGTTAGATACATAAGCCTTTCCAAACTGTCTGTTCTATAACTTGTTTTGGAAACGTTAACAACCTCTGCTGAGTAACTACCCCGCGGCCCCCCACACCCGCCTTTTTCCCTAATTTGCCATGCAACTGAACCTACCCCCTACTATTTAGTTTAAAGCCCTATCCTTAACCCCAGTTATACAATTCACCAGGACTCCCCTTCCAGTGTGATTCAGGTGAAGGCCGTCCCATTGGAACAACTCTCTCCTTCCCCAGTAATGGTGCCAATTTCCCAGAATTGAAACCCTTTTCTCCCACAGCAATCATGTGTTTACCTCTTTAATCTTGTTGACCCTGTGCCAATTTGCTTGTGGCTCTGGTAGTAATCCAGAGATTATTATTGTTTTGGGTATGCTTTTTAATTTAGCCCCTAGCTGCTCATATTCCCTCAGCAGAACCTTTTTCATCCCTTTACCTCCATTGTTGTTACCCATATTGGCCATGAGAACAGGATCTTTCCTCTTCCATGCCAGGTTCCTCTGCAGCCCTGATGAGAAAACCTGAACCCAGGCACCAGGCAGGCAACACAGCCTTTGGGACTCTCAATCCTGGTCACAGAGAACAGTGTCTATTCCCCTGACTATTCTATCGCAATTACATTTCTCTTTTCTCCCTCCTCTTGAATGGCTCCCTGTTCCATGGTGCTATGGTCAATTTGCTCATTCTCCCACTCTCATCCACACAGGGAGTAATAAACCACTCAAGCGTCTCAATTAGCCACAGGCCCTGGAAAGCCTTCCAACCCAGAACAGAGTACCTGTAGTAATGGGAACATAGAGCATTGAACAGGACAGGGGAAGATGGTGGGAATCTCCCCAGCACCAACCCATCAGTTTATCTTTCCTTCCCACCACCTTTTTCTCAGGAGGGGGAGATTTCAAATGGAATCTCTAATCCTGCCCTTCATCCCTGTCTGTGAATATAGTTAGTGAAAGATAGGAGATTCAGTGGCCAGTTGCAATGTGATTCAGCTGACCCAGATCATATCTTTTTTTATAAATGAATTGCGGTTTTCATTTGGTGTCTGTGAAAAGCTTATAACATGCAAGATTGGTGTATAACACTGAGTCAACCATGTGTGATAGCATCGTCTGGAAGCACAATTGAAATTGCCATCAGCGATGCGAGAGTACAGTACCATTGCTCAGTGTCACCTTCTGACGTGTAGTTTGTAAAGATTTAATCATTAAAACTTAGATTGTTACAATGAGGAAAAAACATGAGTTTTAGATCTGTTTCTCGACATCCTTCTGTGCAGGTTGTATCAGTGACTGATGTTCAATATCTCTCTTCTCGATATTACAGAGATTTAGTGTTGAATGCAAGCAAGGCGGACACTGATGGTGAGTACTATATCTGCATTTCCACCCATCATTAATCAAATTGAAGTACTGTGCTGTCTAAAGTGTCTTGGCTCTGCTAACGTCTTCATCGGGTAGATTTGTCTCCACCAACCTGTCTTGTAATACTGATCCATGGGGCTCACTGCTATTAAGTGGTGAAGGATTAGACATCAATAAGTCTTTGGAGTATTATATAATAGCAAAATAACAGGCTACATTAGCTTAAGACTGGTTAACTGCATTAACACTGAGGCACTGTTATTCTCTACAAAATAGCAACTAGGTTAGATATCCTCTAATCAACCCATTCAGAGATTGTTATTACACACCTCTGGAGCAGGTGCGGCTTGAACTCAGGTCTGTCTGACTTATAGGTAGGGACACTACCACTGCATCATAAGTGCCACTATTGTAACCTGTAGAAGATATTTTCCAGTCAACCTATTATACACAAGGGCTCTGTTATTCTCACTAACAAAAGAGTGAAATTTCATCTCATTGCAAGAAAACCGTCACTCTGTTGGGTTCGAAAGCAGCCTCCAGAAATCCATTGCACTTTCCCTTCTGACAGAGGGCCAACTCTTGATAATACAAATAATTGCAAATCATTTTCAAAAAAGCTTTAAATGATATACCACGTAGAAAGTTTATTCAAAAGGTCAGTACATGTGCATACCTGTCCCAGTCTGCACTTCAATCATTGAGTAACCTTGAACAAGGAAATCAGTCATATTAACACATCACTGCCAAACATATTGAAAACTTCTGAATTACAGAATTGTTACAGTGCAGAAAGAAGCCATTTGGCCCATCATGTCTACACTGGCCATGGAAACGAACAGTTCATTTACAGACATTCCCCCATCTTCTCCCCTTAACTCTGCAGATCTTTATCTTTTCAGAATAATTCCCTTTTGATGCATCAATTGAATCTGTCTCCACCACAGCCTTGGACAGTGCATTCCAGACCCTAATCATTCACTGAACGAAAACATTTTCTTGATATCGCTTTTGCTTCTTTTCCAATTACTTTAAACACAGGCCCTCTCACTTTTGATTGTTTTATGATTGGGAAGAGTTTCTCCCTATCACAGAAATTGCTGGAAAAGCTCAGCAGGTCTGGCAGCATCTGTGGAGAGAAATCAGAGTTAATGACCCTTCCTCAGAACCTTCGACCTGCGGTATTAACACTGATTTCTCTCCACAGATACTGCCTCACCTGCTGAGCTTTTCCAGCAATTTCTGTCTTTGTTTCTAATTTGCAGCACAGTTCTTTTGGTTTCTCCCTATCTACATTGTCTAGACCTTTCCTGATTTTAAATACCTCCAACAAATCTCCTGTCAGCCTTCTCTTTTCTAATGAAAACATTTTTAATCTATCTTCATAACTGAAGTTGTTGATCCCTGGAATAATTTCCATGAATCCTTTCAGCACTCTGCTCAATGTCTACACATCTTTCCTCATGTGTTATGCCCCAGACTGGCTGCAATATTTCAATTGAGGCCAAAATAGGGTTTCATACAAGTTCAACAAGGCAACATAGCAACAGCATTTGTTCATGCACTCAGAGCCTGCATTAAGAAAATGTAGGGTGCTGTATGCTTTACTAATCATGCTGTCAATCTGTCCTGCCCCCTTCAATAACTTATGCTGATTTACACCCTGCTCCTGTACTCCTTTTGAAATTGTGCCCTATATTTAGCTTTAACCTAATACAGAAATGGAAAGCTAGCCTCATGAGTGAGTTCTCCAAAATCTACATTTTCTCTTTTTTTATTTCCTCTCATGTAAAACAATGTGCTTCGTGTAGAGTTGATGTGTCTCTGGCCCTTCAATGACACTTCTCTTGGTTTCTTCTTACAGAGAATGACAAGATGGATGCAAAATCAAAGCTGAGTGTAGCTGCAAAGATGACACTGCTCAAAGTAGGTGCTGATTTGTAGAATATTCACTAATTGTTCAAGGAGAATTTAGTATCTTATCCCCTGTTTATACCTGCCAGCAGAGTGTGGGCTATGTTTGAAATCCTCGTCCCAGTTTCTTATGAACTCTCACTGCTTTTGTTGAGGTTGGAGGGTGAAAAACATTGTAAAATAGTAAAGCATACAAATTAAACACTATCTTCAAAAGGGGTTAAATTCACAGTATGGCAGAAGGATTTTTAAAGCAGCATATTTCAGACATTGTAAAGTTACTTAGGACTATTCAATGATTGTATGTGACAATTATTATTGAGTCAATTAAGTTAGTTGATTTGAGCATAACCGGGACATTTACCAGTCAGTTTACATGGTAACATTCCATTGCTTGGTGTCAAAAATAACAAAAAGAATAGACCAGAAAGTATCGGGCCAGTCAGATATGATGCCACATGCTAAAATATAAACATTGGCCTGAACTGCAATCGAGATAGATCAGGATGCTTTTCCCAGCTGAAAGTTTACTCAAAAGGAACCAGAATGAGAAGTTGTGTAATCTGTCACTGGTGCAATGTTTTGCCAAGGAAATCCACTGCTAGAATTAGCCGAGTTGCGTGGAATTATTCTGTTTCTTCTCGTTGTGCTGTCTCTCTCCCTTTCATATTTCCATTAGGAACTGGAGAAAGGGTCCCCTGCAGAGTCTGCTGCAAAGTTGCGTCCTCGCAGCAGCAACGCAGCCATGGAGCGTAGGCTGCGACGTTCGCATGACCGTTCTCGGACTCAGCCAGTGACCACAGAGGAAATGGTGGTGGCAAACAGGTATGGAATAGATCAGGAGAAGGCTGTACTGTTTAGAAAGGCAGAAAGGCAGGTTTTAAGGAGTGTCTTAAAGACAGAAAGTGAGGTCAAGAAGCAGGGAGAAGTTGGGAGGGATTTCCAGAGTATGGGGCAAAGGCAATTGAAGGCACGGCTACCAATGATTGAACAAGTAAATTTGGGGTTATGCATGAGGTTGGTACTAAAGGTGCAGAGATCCCTCTGACGCTTGGGGAGCTAGAGGAGATTGTTAGAGGGAGGCATGAGGCCATGACGGGTTTTGAAAACAAGGATCAGAATTTTAAAATGAAGGCAGGAGCTAGTATATGGCAGAGAGCACAGGAGGTAAAAGGACGATGGAACTTGCCACAAATTAAGGCAAGGGCAGTACCTGTGGACTTATCAACTTTAAAAGAACGCATGGACTGACTAAAAATGAAGAACAAATCCTCCTCACCCCAGTCAGCCTCACTCCAGCAGATCAACTCTACCAAAAGAATAGTTAACTAGTCTTTCATGTACTTTTGTGGCATCTTGCTGTGCACAAGTTGGCTGCTACATTCACCTAAGTAACATTTGTTGCACTTAAGTTATCCATTGACAACAATATACTTTATAACATAATGAAGACATGATACTAAATATAACACAAGATAAGCACATGAAGTGGGGAAAGGTATAGAAGGGTATGCCCATGGGGTTAAACACAGTGGGATATGAGGAGATTCCTGTGGTGGATAATCACCAGTTTGGAACTCTTGGCTAAATGACTTTTTGTCTGCTGCAAACACTTGTAACACTTTGTCACATGTATTTTTACTTACAATATTTGATAGTGTTTATGTCTTCGTCACACTATACTTTTCCACCTCACTTTGTATTGACAGTAAACTCAGATATATTATACTTGGTCTCCTTATCTGTGTCATTGATCTACATTATAAATAGCTGAAACCCAATGCTGATCAATGAGGCACTCCACGAGCAACATCCTACCATCTTGGAAACAACCCATTTATTCCTATTCTCTATTTGTTGACCATTAACCAATTTCCAGTCCATTTCCAACATGTATTCTCAAACCCATGAGCCCTAACCTTGTGCAACAATCTCTAGTGAGACACCTTACTATTGCCTTCCTAAAATACATATGTATTACATGCAGTGCCTCCCCCTCATCATCCCTGCTAGTCAAAACCTCAAAAACCTCTAATACAGCTATTAAACACCATTCCTGTTTAATAAAATGATGTTGAAAGGCCAACTCCTGATCCTAATTTCCTAAAATGTGCTTCCTGATTTTGCTGCTGAATGGCCTAACTCTCATTTTAAGTTTGCGTCTTCTTTTACATGGATGATCTCCCACAAAATGACATATTTTCTCCTTACCTACCCAATCAAATCCTTTGATTAATTTGAACAACTTGATCATCAAGTGACATAGCTCTCGTATTGCCCTCTGAGATCTTGTCAGTCTTTAACTTTCAAATGTGGCTCTGGATAGTAGATTTTGAGAGGAAATTTGATTATGGATGGCATCGTGTTCAAACACAATAGCATGATAATTACAGGCTAGAAGCATGAATTTTCCAGAAGGTGTCACTTCATGGTTAACACTAATGGGAGGTCCAGCAGATATATATCCATTTGTGGTTGGCAGAAAATTGTAGCTTATGGTTAGTACCATGAAGGGCTGCAACAAATCAAAGAAAGCATTCATAAATGAGTAGAATGGGCACATACATGAGTTGGGTACTTTGATAGAAGGACTTAGGAGATATAGTGGTCCTTGGAAAAGAATGTCTAAATGACGTGGAGAAGCAAAGGGGTCTCAAGGTAGAGATTCACCAATTAGTGAAAGTAATGCTACCATTTAACACCTTTGTAAACAAGAAGACAAAAGCTCTGAGGTTTATTTCTCAATGGGTAGATTTGAAAATCAGAGAAATGTGTTAGAGATAATAAGAACTGCTGGAGTCAGAGATAACACAGTGTGGAGCTGGAGGAACACAGCAGGCCAGGCAGCATCAGAGGAGCAGGAAAGTTGATGTTTCGGGTCAGGACCCTTCTTCTTCTGCTCCTCTGATGCTGCCTGTCTTGCTGTGCTTCTCCAGCTCCACACTGTGTTATCAGAGAAATATGTTAACCTTGTTTGAACCTTGGCTTGTATGTATTTGACATGCCTTGTACAGTTCTTTTCCACATGCTGTAAGCAATATGGAGAAAAAACAAATAAGTGAAGGCTAGATGAAGATCAGGCCAGAGCTAAATGAGTGGTAAAGTAGGATCAAAGGGCTGAATGGTCTAATACTGTTCCTAACCCAAATGACAGCCAGCTTCTCCTAAGTGAAAGAAGGGATTACATTTGAAGAATACTTTTCTTCACATTTTTCAATTTCTGCTTCTACACTAATTGACAAAAACTCTGCTGTTAGCCTCCCTAGGGCACAGTCACCAAAGGAGCAGGATGCAGATGGAAAAAAGAGCAGTGCAGTTGAACAGGAGGTAGAAGAGAGAGGTGATGAGAATTCCAGGCTGAGTCTGAACCAGAAGATGGCCTTGTTTAACAGCCTGTGTCAGCCCATGCCAAAGAAGATGCCCGCAGTGGAAGGACCTAATGGGCGCAGACAGAAAGGGGCTCGGTATCGCACACAACCTGTCACCTTTGATGAGGTCCAGCTGGTAAATGTTATTTTTATTTCAATCTTACTAAGATGGTGAAGCAGAATAATTTCCTTCTGTGATTCATGACATAAAACAATCCATAAGTGTTTGAGCAATAATTAATGACTGAACATTCTTGCAACTGAAAGGTTTCAGGCCTTATTTGAAAGTTTTATATAGAATCATAAAAACTAGGAGCAGAAGTCAGCCATTTAGCCCCTCAAGCCTGCTCTGCCATTCAATAAGATCAGAGCTGGTCTGATTACACTATATTCTCACCTACTGCAGGTAACCTTTCAACCCCTAGCTGATCAAGAATCTGCCTCTTCCTTCTTTCTGCTTTCACCACCTATTGAGGAAGAGAGTCCCTAAGACTCCTGACCATTTGTGAGAATAAAATTCTGCTCATCTCTGCTTTAAATGGGTGTCTCCTTATTTTTACACTGTGAGTCCTGGTTTTAGAATCTCCCACAGAAAGTGATGGGGAATCTCAGCAGGTCTGGCAGCATTTGGGTCTTTCTCTACAGAGAGATTTGTTTCTCTGTTTTTGATTCAGATTTCCAACATCCAATTCTTTGCTTTATAATATCCTCTCCATATCCACCTTGTCAAGACTAATTAAGTTTCCTCTTACTCTACTGTACTCCAGCAGATATGAACCTGACTGGTTCAACCCTTTCCTCATAAAACAACCCTCCCCTCTCCAACCATCACAGCTATTCCAGGTAGTCAAATAACCCTTGTCTGAACTGCTTCCAAACTAGTTGCATCTTTCCTTAATTAACAACACCAGTATTGCACACAGTAAACAACTCCCCTCAAAATGAACAATAACATTCTGTTAGCTTTTAATTAGTTGCTGTACCTGCACATTCGCCTGTGATACATGCACTCATACACCTAATGTGTTAAACATTACAGTTGCAGAACCCATTATGGCTTGATTGTCCGGTATAACATGTTCACTAAGGCATGCAGACTGTGCAAACCCAATCTCTAACCTGCACTAGATGAAGGGCAGCACAGTGGCTCGGTGGTTAACATTGCTGCCTCACAGCGCCAGGGATCCGGAATCAATCCCACCCTCAGGCGACTGTCTGTGTGGCATTTGGAAACCAGAGCACCTGTGTCTATGTGCATTTCCTCTGGGTGCTATGGTTTCCTCCCACAGTCTGAAGATGTGCAGGTTAAGTAGATTGGCCATGCTAAATTGCCCATAGTGTCCAGGAATTTGCAGGCTAGGTGGATTAGCCATGGGAAATGGGGTTAAGTCTGGATGGGATGCTCTTTGGAGGGTTGTTGTGATCTCGGTGGGATGAATGGCCTGCTTCCACATTGTAGGGATTCTATAAATATCATGGGGGATATTATAGCTAACTGCCTTGTACAGAGAGGGAAAAAAATAGCCAATATTTCTATTAAGCATTACTGTTTAATGATTCCTACTGGAAAATGCATGGGCATTGATTGAGAGTGGGATAGGCGCTAACCTGTGATGCCCTCAATAGTCAAATAGTCTACTGGCACCATACAGGGTAACACTTGTATATTAGCTAAATGAGCAAGGATGGTGGCATTGACATCCCGTATTGAACTACACCCCTGCGAAGGTCAGTGTGTTAGAGAGGGAAAGAAAGGATATTAGTGTGAAAAACTAAATTGACTGGAAAATCTATCTGTAAAAGAACCGTTGTGCTTTCAGTCCAGCAAGCTGTCCTTTGATCAACACTTGTTCCCAAGATATTTACACAATGTCGCTGAGGGGAACTCAATGATACTTTGAAGTGGTTAACCATAGAGACTGTGGTGAGTTCGGGAACTGCAAACTCCTGGGAATTGGCCATTGCCAGTTTGTGATTTCTGTTTATTCAACTGGAATAAATAGACAATGCCCTTTTGGTAATGTAGGAATGAGCACATCACAAAGCAGGTTAAAAAAATAAAGTTAATCCAATCAGCCAGCTCAGAATACAAAAGTCCAAATACTCCAACCTCATTGTCAGTGTGTTTTTTTTAACAATGTGTGCTCCTGGCAAATCAGGCTGTGCTCATGTTTGAAAGTATATCCAGTGTCAACATGGCACAGTTGCCATCGTTTGACTCAACAGGTTGAAGGTCCAAAACCCACTGTAGCTGAGCGCACACCCTGCATTCAATGTAGTACTGTTAGACTGTTACACTATGACAGACTCCTACTACCTGTAAAGGATCTCTCAGCTTGTTTTGTGGAGGAGTAGAGAGTTGTCCCAGTGTTCAGGTCAGCACCTCTCTCATGATCACACATCACCAGGAACACCGTCACTGGTCGTTTGTTCATTTGTTGTTTGTGTGATCTCATTGTGCCAACCAAGTTTCCCAAACTTTAACTAGTACCATTTGCCTTCACTTTGGCTCACATTCCTCCAAACCTTTCCAATGCATGTACCCATCCAAATGTCTTTTAAATGTCATAATTGTACTTGCTTCTACCACTTCCTCTGGCATTTTATTCCATACACACATCACTCTGTGTGTGGGAAAGTTGTCCCTCAGGTCCTTTTTAAATCTTTCCCCTCTCACCTTAAATCGATGCCCTCTGGTTTTGGACTCCCCTACCCTGGAGAAATGATCTTGGCTATTCACCCTATCCATGCCCCTCATGATTTTATAAGCCTCTCTAAGGTCACCCCTCAGGCACCGACGCCCCAGCGTATGCAGCTTCTCCCTATAGTTCAAACCCTCCATTCCTGGCAACATCTTTGTAAATCTTTTCTGCACCCTCTCAAGTTTAACAACATCTTTCCTATAGCAGGGAGACTAGAATTGAAAACAGTATTCCAAAATTGGCCTAACCAATGTCCTGTACAGCCGCAACATCTTTCCTATATTTGAGAAACCCAAAGAAAAATAGTTTAGCTAAAAGGACAGTCATATATTGTCACTTCAGAATTCTTTATTTCCGTGAATTTTGAAACTAAATTGGCAATAGATGCGAGATATCCTTCATCTACGACCCTTCACGTGGTGATCACCCCCAAGATTCTCACCGGTAAAGATCACACACCAAGTCTCAATTAAGGGAAAGCTGGAAAAGTGACATAAACTTGGTCAAAAATAAAGGTTTGAGGATACTTTTCAATGTAGAGAGTAAGGCAAGGAAGAGAATTCCAGAGAGTGAGGCGGCCATTACTGAGTGAAGAGGAGACAAGTCATGGCAGTGTAGGATAGCTTAGGACAGGATGGAGCGGGATAAGACAGGCTGAGCCCATGCAGTTAGCCAGACTCAGGGAGATAGGCAGCGTGACCTGGTATGTACAGTCAGATGAGGATGCAGAGCTGAAGGAGACAAGACCATGACATGAGTTTTTAAAGCCAGAAGTTGAGGAATGGGGAGTGTGGCTCAAAAAGCAGACATGAGTTTTGGAATGCGGGATATTAAGTTGGGATGGGGGAGGGATTTTGTGTTAGAGGGAATGGGGCTTGGGATGAGAGAGAGGGAGGTATGGGATGGGAGAGTGTGGTTTAGAATAAAGGAATGGGGTTTGAAATAGGAGAGAGGGACTTTGGTTGTGAAACTGGGTGCATGGGTTGGAAGGAGTATGATTTGGGATGGAGAAGTGGAGTTTGGGATAGAGTACTGGGTTTTAGAATGGGGGAGTGGAGTTCGGGATGGAGTACTGGGTTTTAGAGTGGGGGAGTGGAGTTTTGGATGGAGTACTGGGTTTTAGAATGGGAGAGTGGAGTTTTGGAGAATGGGGGAGTGGAGTTTTGGATGGAGTACTAGGTTTTAGAATGGGAGAGTGGAGTTTGGGATGGAGTACTGGGTTTTAGAATGGGAGAGTGGAGTTCGGGTTGGAGTATTGGGTTTTAGAATGGGGGAGTGGAGTTTGGGATGGAGTATTGGGCTTTAGAATGGGGAAATGGGGTTTCAGTTAATGGGAGTAGGATTTGGGATGAGGGCTGTGGTTGGGATGGGGAATGAGGTTTAAGATGAGGGAGTTGGGTATTGGATTTAAGGGAATGGGATTTTAATGAGGGGGTGGAGTTTGGGATTGGAGGGAGTGAGATTTTATAGGGTATAGTGAGGTTTGGGGTGGATGAGTGGATTTTGGGATGGAGGAAGTGGGGTGTGCCACTGAGGAGTGGGGTTTGGGATGGGGTTTAGGATTTGGGATGGGCAGAGTGAGGTTTGGGATGGAAGTTTTGGGTTTAGGATAGAAAAGTGGGATTTTATACAGTACAGGAGGCATGTAACAGATTTAAGATAATCTGGTGCAGTTTTTAAGGGGATTTCAGGAGGGTCTGCTTGGTCTGAGAGAGTGTTTCTGTGTAATGGGCAGGTCAGAATTTCAACTGTCTATTTGCTATGTGGTGCTTCATTTTCCGCTTATACAAACATTCAGTGATAAATAAATCCAGCCTTTAAGAGTTGGAGTATTGGCTCTGTCAGGACATTACTCATGTAAAATAAATTGGAACAGGGTGGGGCAGAGAGCTTTAAAAAATAGTTTTGCTGCAATGAATCATTTTTGTTCGCTGTGACAAAAAAAGTCAGGTGTGTGGAATTGGCGCTGGATCACGAATTTAACTTCAAGTCTAAACAACGACTTAGAGAAATATTGGAATTTGTAAAGCACTGCAGGATTATCTTCCAGGTAGGAGTCAGATCATCCGTGTCTAAATAAATAGCTGATTTCAAAAGCTTAGATCATTCAGTTTAATGTAAACTGCCCAATTGATAAAGAACATGTTGGTGTTACTTTGGATGATTTTGAAGTGATCAGACTCCCCAGGATGAACTTTGTCAAGAAGATAAACATATGAAGCATCAGATTTTATTTGCTACCCATGGAATCCTGGCTTGTGAAAGGCAAATATAATTTCTCGGACTGGAAGCTCTCTCCATTTCTGGTAGCTTTCATTGATATGCAGGAATGGATATATTTCTTCACCTAATACAAAATTGTGTTGTACTCCCTCATTGTGTTAACTAACTTGATGAGTTCAAATCCTTGAACTTCCAACCTTCAGTCCCTGAGGCAAGAGGCTACCAACTGATCCAAGGCTGCACTTTTAGACATTTGCTAATGATGTTGGTGTATAGGCAGGAAATGCTTAACATTCTCAATACAGCTTGCTTGATGAACTGGGGGAAAGCAAGTACATAATGAGTTAAGTGTTTAGCTGGTGTGCATGTTTAAGCTCTGTGGTGGATTGACACATTCCGCTGCCTTTTCACTTGGATCCCGGTTTAATATTTCTCAGCTGGGCTGCCAGGTAAAACGCTGTGCTCGTAGAAGTGTTTCACTTCAGGGAGGGGAAAGTGGACACTGTCCAGTAAGAGAGTCACAAGTGTGCTTTCCGCGGGCCAATTACAGAAGGCAGTCATCGAGGCATTTCTGATCACAGCAGCATTTTACTTTGGGCTGAATCAGTGCAGGTAGAGTGAGGGGGCAGAGCAGGGAGAACTGGAAAAAACTGGGGAAAAATGTAAAAATAGTTACAAGGAAGTTTGGATCAGGTTGTTTGATTCGCTGATTTGGCTGTAGATGTTACAATAATGTTTCAGACAAATGCAAGCTCTGTTAGAACGGTGCAATGTTTCCAAATTTTAGCTAAGCACTGCACTCATCAATGGTCAGAATTGTAGCAAGTTAGTTCAATTGCTACTAATCCAGACTCCCTCAGGCAGAACACTACTGTGTTTACGGTCTGGTTGGCGGATCCAGGTTGCTTTTTTCTACTTCCCTCCTGAATTCTTCATTGGTGAGTATGTCATTGTTTTGAATTTGTGTCGGCCCTTTATTGCCATTTTATCCCAATAACTTGCCATCCGTGGTACCCACAACTCAAAGGCAATACTGTCTGCACCACTGATGCTGAGGGCTTCAGTTTTCATGGGATCTCGTAGGCAGGAAGACAAAAGCATGAGGTCCCAACCTGTTAGCTGCAAATGGTCTAACTCACTGCTGGCAAAATTAGGGATTTTGGAAATCCAAATTCAAGAGTTTCTATTTGATCACTACCCCCGACATTGCAAAGAGTGTTGCTCATGTTTTGCATTAGATAAAGTGGCCTGACTATTACCAGGGGCTGGTAATGTAGATGACAGGGGAAAAGTTTCGAATAAGAAACTCTGGGATGGGGTGAAGCAGAGCTGTGTTGGGAGCGTGGTATCTGACCCCTGATCTTGGGTCTTTCCTTTTGGGGGATATCTGATCACCTGAGAGAACCTTGTGTGGGGGAGGATTTCAGGAGAGACACAGGAAATTTCCCTCTTCCTTTAAGCCCACAAGCAGTGCTGTAAAGGCATTTAATGTCTCCTCAAAGCTATCTTCATGTTCTGATGCCTGGCAAGACTGGCTAACCACAGTTAAACCTGGAAAATCTGAGGCTACCAGCCTCACTAAAATATTTAAATTCCTGGGTGGCACAGTGGCTCAGTGGTTAGCAGGGACCCAGGTTTGATTCCACCCTCGGGCGACTGTCTGTGTGGAGTTTGCACGTTCTCCCTGTTTGCGTGGGTTTCCTCTGGGTGCTCTGGTTTCCTCTCACAGTCCAAAGATGTGTAGGTTGAGTGGATTGGCCATACTAGATTGCCCGTAGTGTCCAGGGATGTGCAGGCTAGGTGGATTAGCCATGGAAAAGCAGGGATAGGGTAGTGGGGTGAGTCTGGAAGGGATGATCTTCAGAGGGCTGGTGTGGACTCAATGGGCTGATTCTTTAGAAATAATTCATTTGCTTGGCCCCAGTCTACCTCTGTTAAATGCAAACATAGGTAGATTTCAGGCAATTTGAAGAGGGACTGCAGAATTAAAAATAACTATTACATCTATCAAGATGCTAGCCTATCCATTCTTAGCTGGCAATATAAAACATAATGTTTCCTCTGGACTTGACCTGAATTTCAGGTCTCAATTCATAAACTGAAACCCTGAGAAAACCACTTAGCTCTGTCTTGAGGTCAACCTGCTCTCCTCACCCTCCTCCAGACACCAACTAAGCCAAGTAAGTTAATCATTTTCAAACGGTTGTGTACTAAAGGCTGAGAATGTCAGCTTGCATCCCAGTTAACAAATCCCTGAAAAGCTTGTGTGCATCAATCATTAAAGCACGTGTCACACTTTCAGCTCCAGGATTTATCAGAACAACGCCATCAACTTCTGCCCAACTGCCCAGGACAGACACCTGCTGAGGAAACAGTGTTGGATGTTTTAAGCTTGCCCTCAGCTCCGGAGGAGATTGTGAAGCTGGAGATAATGTCAGCTGCATCAGTTCCCAGCTCTGAGGACAGCGGAAAGATAGAGACTGTGGGAAACGAGGAGACACCAAAGGAGATTGAAGGAATATTGAAAACACAAGGAATCAGCAAGTTGAATGAAAGTCACATCCTGCAGGAACAGCCCAGGAAACGTGAGGCGAGGAGCCCAACTGGTATATTGGCGGAGACCAACTCTATTCCGAGTGCTGTATTTGGAGAGTACAACACAGACAGGGCAGACATAACCCAGGAGCTGGGCAGGAGTGAAGATGAAGTGAGACTAGCTGAGAACGATGCTTCAGAGAAACCAAACTCCAGTGAAATACAAGAGGGTGACCAGAGAGAAACAGCGGGTAAATACAATGTTTGTGCTTTATCACTATTTCTTTCAAATTCTGATGTTGATCTTTGCATGGCATTGCAATTTATCCTGAATAATGGTTGCATTGCTTGAACTGTCCTCTATTCATTTCCCTTATAGACAGTGAGATTTTCTTAATTCTCCCTCAGAATGTGGCAAGGCCAATTTTTATTGCCCATCTTTGCGAAGGTGGTGGTAAACAGCCATGTGCTTCTGTCCATGTGCTGATTGCTTCCCCATAGTGCTGTTAGATAGAATTCCAGACTTTGACAAAGAAGGAACAGTGATAGATAACAAAGTTAGGATGGGGTGTGACTTGAAGGGGATCTCAGAAGTCGGGATATTTCAATGTATATACTGGGGAAATAATTCCACAGAGGCTGGCATCCCATCACCAAATCAACCTTTATTTTCGTATGCATAGTGCTTGACACCAGCCTGGCTTCCTCAGAGCCGTCTCTCAGAGTGAACAGAACCTCTGACACTCCTGTTTATATCTGTCAGCCAGGGCTCCCTGATTGGGGCTGTTAACCTGGTCCAAACAGGGAACTCATATTCTATGAGGTCCATCTGGTTGACCTCGTTGCATCACTACATCGCCTTTGTCCTTTTAGCTGGTTGGGCCATGAGTTGCTGATTTAGTGTATTGCAACTTTCATAAGTGGCTTTACTCTGACTTGGGACTGAAGTTCACTCTCCATGTGCAGTCTTTATTGGCTACTCTCCATAATGAGAACCAGCTTAGGATCCAGGAAATAAGGCCGTCCTAACATGTTGATGACACAAGATTGGAATCTGGCTCCGAAACCTGAACACACTTGTGGAGGAACCAATGCCCAGAGATCAATCTCTGCAAAATGAATGCAGTGGTTTAAAAAGAAAGAGCTCAGACATTCTGCCACTAGCCTTCACCAACTACAGCCACATTCCAGGTCTGATCACAGAGAATGGATTGTAGATTTGTAGTTAACCATTAACAACCTTCTATCAATAACCCAAACATGATCATACCAGCAGGTAATTCAGTTCCATAATCTCTAGAAATGTCACAATCAATTGTCAGGAATTATTAACAAGCTACCCAATTGAATGCATTCAGTGGAGATATTGGCTGGGATTTTCCACTTCGGTTCTGCCTGGTCCATAACATTCTGCCGACTATAACGAGTGCAGAAGGGGAAAACCGCACTCATTAGTTGGTAAGGCCACAAGTTTTTTTGCATTTTCAGTGGGAGAAAAGTAAAGATTGTAATATTGGAATTGAAGAAAGAGAATCTCCATACACATTCCTTAAGCAGGTCATGATGAAGCTGAGAGAGGCCAAGTACTGAAGTCAGTTAGCGTGGAGGAACACTCGAGAAAGGCAATAGTCATGCACTGAAGTAGTAGAATATAAGACAGTTTGGAGGGGGTGGCTGATTGGTATTATCACTGGACTAGTGATCCAGAGGTCTGCAGTAACACTGGGGAGGCATAGATTTAAATCCCACCAGAGCAGATAGTGAAATCTGAATTCAGTTAATACATCTGAGTGTAATAAAAGTTACTCTAATGTTGACCCACATAATCACTCATTGTTTGTAAAAACCAATATTACTTTTGTTAATGACCTTCACGAAATCTGCCATCCTTACCTGGTCAGGCCTGCATGTGACTCCAGACCCACAGCAATGTGATTGACCCCCTGGACATGGCCGTATTAAACCACAAAGTTCAAGGGAAACAAATGTGGGCCTTGCCAGTGACTGTCACACCCCATCAAAAAAATAAACCAGTAAATGGATCATGTGGTTGTTGTGCCTCAAGTCTTATTCCCTGAAAAACAAGGAAACATTCAAGAAAAGGGAATGTTTCTGAGTATCAAAACTCTTAAGTTATGAGGAGAAACCAGTGAAAATTTGGCTTTTCCAAACTAAAAAAGGAGCACCTAAAAGGTGAGATAACAAGGTGTAGAGCTGGATAAGCACAGCAGGCCAAGCAGCATCAGAAGAGCAGGAAGGCTGACGTTTTGGGCCTAGACCCACCTGAAAGGTGAATTTATTTAAAGCAATAAACGTTCTTAATAGGTATTTAAGGCAGTAACTGAAATGGAAAAGATAAATCTGGAATACTATTTTAGGTTGCTGGGCGAAACGAAGTAAAAGTCTAATTTAGGACAGCTGTAAAGAAATCCTCTTCACAGAAAAAATGATTAACACGTGAAAATGAACCGGCCAGATAGTGTAGGTGAGAAAAGAAACTGACACCATCTAAAATAACAAGTAGCTACAGCAAAGGCAGGACATTAAGGTCATTCTGGATGGCTGAATTAAAATGGGCCGAATGACTGTTCATCATTCTCTTGAGAATTCAAGACTAGAGAAATGGGAAGTCATTCTGGGTTCCTGTCTATGCTGCTGACTTAGTAATTGCTGCTGTGAAATATTTGGCTGTGGGTGAAGACTGGATTTGGCTGTGCATTGCATTTTCTGTTAACTGTCTCACTATCCAGATCTCACTCCCTGGTGGCAATGTAATGGGGGAAACCTGAAATGTTTGTAAGACGAGCTTTAATTTTAAATCTAATTTGTGATGGTAAATGCGGAGCTTTGATATTCCTGGTTGATGTGGTTAGAGCCAGCGTAAGTGCTGATACTCTTTTTCCTGATAGACTAGTTTGAACAGGTTTCTGTTCCATTCATTCAGACACTGAAGGATCTAGAGCGCCAACACAGGACGATTTCTCAACACCACCCTCCTCACCACCATGGTACCAGAAGGACGACCATTCCCCTCCACAGTGGCAACCTGCTGATAACCTCTGCACACCACAGGGCAAAGAGCAAGGCGAGGACTACCTGGAACAACAATTTGATGAGGACAATCTGGAGCAATCCCTAACTCCAATTAACGTGGGAACGTCAGTCAAGGACAGGTACAGAGATTGAGAACCAATCTGCCCTACTTATTAGTTACACTCCAATCCCTCCTACTCTTTTATCCTCCATTTATCTCTCTATCTCTGGTTTGGTCAGATACACCAGTGACATTCTGTGCTATAATATCCACTTAGCCATGTAGGCCAGGACAGCAGCATGCTATTTGACTGTGGCTAAACATGGTTCTCTTCTTACCCAACCTCGCAACTTACGCTGAGGGTAACTGGGCAGCAGTAATGTCTAGTTACCTTCAACGGAGCTACGGAGCAAATGTCTGCCAGAGAACAGTGAGGACACAGCAGCTTACTCAGCCTAGCCTTTCTTTCAGTACAGCCCTGAGCCTTTCTACTGCGCAGGGTGCCTTACAGTATCATCAGTGAATGTAAAATCATGAATGTGAAAAGAATTTTCACATCAGGGTGGCATGGTGGTACAGTGGTTGGCATGCTACCTCACAGCGCCAGGGACCCGAGTTCGATTCCACCCTCGGGTGACTGTCTGTGTGGAGTTTGCACATTCTCCTCGTGTCTGCATGGGTCTCCTCCAGTTGCTCTAGTTTCCTCCCACGGCCTAAAGATGTGCAGGCTAGGTGGGTTGGCCATGCTAAATTGCCCATAGTGTTCAGGGATGTGTAGGTTTAGATGGGTTATGAGGGCTGGGTCTGAGTGGGAAGCTGTGCCATCTATCTCCTAACTTGCACCAAATCTCATTCACTCGCCAGATCCCTCCATGTGTCACTCCTCCCTATCTCTGTAATCTCCCCTAGCTCCATAAACCTCCATTATATCTGTGCTCCTCTAACCCTAGTTTCCTGAGCATCTCAGTTTTAATCACTCCATCACTGGTGGCTGTGCCTTCAGCTGCAAGCATCCCATGTTATGGAATTCTCTCCCTAAATCTCTCTCTCTCCCTATTCTCCTTCAAACTCACATATAATAGAACTGTTGCAATACAGAAAGAGGCCATTCGGCCTGCTGTGTCTACACTGGCTCTCGGATTGAGTGTTACAACTTAGAGCCATTCTTCTGCCTTTCCCCAAGGTCCTGAATACTGTTTCTGTTTAAATAAAAATCCAGTGCCTTCTTGAATATCTCAATTGAACCTCCATTCACCATATTTCCAGGATGTGCATTCCGAACTCTAGCTAATCACTGTGTCAATAAGTTCTTTTTCCGATATCACATTTGCTTCTTTTGCAAATTACCTTAAATCTGTGCCCTGTCATCTCGATCCTTTTATGAGTGGGAACAGTTTATCCTTGTCTACACTCTAGCCTAATGATTTTAAAAACTTCTTTCAATTTTTTTTTTACTAATTCATGGGATGATGGCATCGCTGGCTGAGCCAACATTTCTTGCCTATCCCAGAGCACAGTTAAGAGCCAACCACATTGCTATGGGTCTGGAGTCACACGTGGTCCAGACCAGGTAAGGATAGCAGTTTCCTTCCCTAAAGGACATTGGTGAACCAGGTGGGTTTTTTTTAACCACTGACAATGGACAATGGATTCCTGGTCATCATTAGACTCTTAATTCCAGATTTTTATTGAATTCAAATTCCACCATATGCCATGACAGGATTCAAACTCGGGTCCCTTGAACATTATTTGGGTCTCTGGATTAACAGTCCAGTGATAATACCACTCAACCATCACCTCCCGCTCTCAACTTAGCCTTCACCTTTTCCAAGAAAAGCAAACCTAACTTCTCCAATCTACTTGATAACCGAAGTTTCTCAGTCCTGGAAACATTCTCATAAACCTCTTCTGTACAGCATCCAATGTGTTCACATTCCTTCCTAAAGTGTGGCATGCAGAACTGTACAGAATACTGCAGCTGAGGTCTAACCAATGGCCTATGCATGTTCAGTGTAAAATGCTGTTTAAAATCTACCTCTCTGACTACATTCTCCAGTTACCTTTGCTAATATCTCCTCATCTGACTCATTATCGGTGTGTTATTGTGAAAACACCTTGAAACTTTTTATAAAAACCGAAAGAACTGCGGATGCTGTAAATCAGGAACAAAAACAAAGTCGCTGGAAAAGCTCAGCAGGTCTGGCAGCATCTGTGGAGGAGAAAACAGAGTTAACGTTTCGGGTCCGGTGACCCTTCCATTCTGAGGAAGGATCACCAGACACGAAACGTTAACTCTGTTTTTTCCTTCACAGATGCTGCCAGACCTGCTGAGCTTTTCCAGCAACTTTGTTTTTGTTGGAACTTTTTATATTGTGTTACAGATAAATACAAGTCACAGTTGATATTATTGTATCTCACGGAGTGTCCTCCACATCAGGTTGCAGAAACTGAAAGATGGTGAGGAGCAGTGGAAGAATAAAATAAACAAGAGGCAGGGTGGTGTTCGTGTCCCATTAACTGAACGCTGCAGTCAGCTTCAACAAGCCGAAGGTGCCTGGAAGAAAAAGGTAACAGAATGATGACAGGTCAGAGTTGAAATGTGAGAGCTCAGTCATGTGGATTCTGGCCTTGTATTGTACACTGCTTTGTTGAGGAATATTCATAAGGAAATGGAATTTGGGCTTGGAGGTACCAGCTGGTCTTCACTGGTTCGTGAGACATTCTGTAATATGGTTCATAAATACCCAGAGAACTGAATGAGAGTCTTTGTAATTAATCTTCCATTAACAGGAACTACAGAAGATATTACATATCAACCTAAATATATCACAAAGCCTAGTTGGTAAGAGCACCCTGCTGATATCCCTGGTTTAAATTTATATCTTAGTCAAGTTTATTTTCCCAGCAGTAACAAAATCATAGAATCATTACAGTGTAGAAGGAGGCGATTCAGCCCACCATGCCTGCACTGGCTCTCTGAATGAGCTTCTCCCTCCATGCCATTCTCCTATTTCTTTCCTGTAACCAAGGACATTGTTACTTTACAAAATAACCAGCTAGTTCCCTTTTGAGTGACTCAATTGAACCTGCCTCCGGCCCACTCTCTGGCAGTGCAAGCCAAACTCTTAAAACTCACTGTCTGAGAAAGTTCCACAGGAGTGAAAGATATTTTAGACTTCTTCTTGTTTCCTATTGGTAACGTGTGTGTGTGTGTGTGTGTGTGTGTGTGTGTGTATGCGTGTGCGTGTGTGTATGCGTGTGCGTGTGTGTATGCGTGTGTGTGTGTGTGCGCGTGCGTATGCGTGTGTGTGTGTGTGTGTGTGTGCACGCGCCATTCTATAATTAAATCGTCGATTTTATGATGTGTATTTAATGTTAAATGTTTAAAATACTACTTTGCATGTTTGTGTAAGGGTGAATATCTGTGTCTGTGTGTGTCTAGAAATAGACAGATTCTATAATTAAGCCATTGATTTTATGACGTGCCATATTTACCAGAAACCAGACCCTGTAAAATTCAGGAAATATCAAATTATGCAGTTTGTCCCTTTCAAGTTGTGATTGCCGTATTAATGCATTAAGCCCAGGTTGACTGATAGCTCGGCTTTTAAAGCAGTGAACTGCTGAGTTGTGAAGTCCAAGACAGCTCTCGGTTTGATCCTAGGTCTGTACTGAATTAACTGATTGATGACAGCTAGTAGAGGTTATTACGTTTTAGCTTCTGTATCCATGAGCTTGGAAAGGAACGATTGATAAGGATTAAACGTTGCAAAGTATTCAAATTTTTGGTGCTCATATATCAGGCAAATCTATTTATCAATCCTGATTCTATTTGAAGCAAGCCATCCAAACGCCTGCAGTATGCAGCCACATCACAAACTGTGAACTGCCCTCCCAGGTGTGTTCCTTTTGAAGATAGTCAAAACAGTCTTGCTCACGACAGTGAAATAGCTGGAGAAACCAGTGTTTAAACTTAGAATCATTACCTCAGTCTTCCTTGTTTGGAATCTGATCACCATCATTCAAAGTTCCTGGGTGGATAAGAGATGAAAATGGAAGGTTAATTCATGGAATTTCATTACTCTCATTGTTGAGGAACCATACAGGAGAGAGCAGGGTAGAGGGCAGAGGGCACACGGGGTAGAGGGCAGAGGGCACACAGGTAGAGGGCAAAGGGCACACAAGGTTCAGGGCAGAGGGCATACAGGGCAGTGGTCAGAGGGTGCATGGGGTGGAGGCCAGAGGGGCACACAGGGTAGAGGGCAGAGGGCACATGGGGTAGTGGGCAGAGGGTGCATGGGGTGGAGGCCAGACGGCATACAGGGTAGAGGACAGAGGGCATACGGGGTACAGGGCAGAGGATATTCTGAAACAGCGGACTCTGGGACTGGCCAAAAGGACAGTGTTGCTATTGATTCCTGCACGACAACTTCACAAACACGTGATTGGATACAAAGTGCTTGGGACGTCTTGTGGTCATATATATAAATGCACCTCTTTTTAATTATTCTGTAGCTCACTGTTCACCTGAGGCTGCATTCCGTTCCAGTGATGTTTGCAGTACAGTTATGAAAAGAGGATGAGTGTCACTTGTTCTTGTTGTTTCTGATAGGAATGTTGCAAACATCAGAGTTCTTTTCCACTCTTACAACACCAGTGGGCTCAGTCTGACCCTTCAGGCTTCAGCTATTGTGGTCTGTTGAGAACATTCAAAGACTGATTTGCCAGTCGAGGAATTCAGCTGAAAGCCAGGCCAAGAGAGAACTTACTTCCTTCTCCTTAACTTCCATTGGACACACCTTGCCCCCAAATCGGGTTCAACAGCCAGTGTGCTTTGCTAAGTTGACGTATATGTTCACCATCTTATCTGAGATCTCTTTCCTTCTGGTATATCTCTGTCTCCATCTTCTTTCCTTTTCTTCTGAATATAGGGAGAAGATGGGTATCTGAGTGATGCAGAGCAGCCTCGGTACTGGGTAAGAGCACTAATCCAAAAATAAGGCCATTGGGGAAAAACATGACACGATGTAAACCGGGAATAAAGTCTGTTGCATGATTGGAGAAAAGTGCTTTTCAGTTGGTCAAACCCATCACAACCCCTCTGCCACTAAACATCCCATCCCCTACACAGAACACCACTCCTTCCTTGAAACTGTGAGCTACAGGAACAGGCAGGATCGGTTCTCTATCATAAACTATCAGTCTTGGGCTTACAATCATTGATTTCTTTTTGAACGCCTTCCCCCTTACATTACCAGCGGTTGGTGTCTCCCGCAACCTGATTGGTTCTCTTGTTGTTTACTGCACAGTAACAAGTAACTATGACACAGTAACACATAAACTAACACTGTTAGTTCAATTACAGCTGTGATGAAAACAGACCGACAGTCCAAGGGACACAGCAGTCATACATAGTAATAAATTCCTAAGCAAACTTTAAAATCTCGATGCAATTTGGAAAATAAAACTCACTATCACTTCAAACAACTCCCTATTTAATTTAAGGCTATGGGGTGGGACTGGATAAAGGTGAGATGTTTCTCAAAGCAGCCTCTACACCACTTCTTGAAAGAACAAAGAGTGAATTAAATAAATCTGAGTCTCTGAGCTTTTCTCCGGTCTGCACCCAACACTGGGAAGACAGGTTTGTGTGTTTTGTAGCCTGCAGTCCTATTACTCTATCTCTCACCTTTCAACTGATCTGATGAATAGTGACAACCTGCAGTTCTGATGGAAACTAAATCATGTCGACTCGTGGAACACTAACAAGCTGATCCTTGGGCTGAAACACTGACTTCTCGGTTTAAAGACTAATTGTTCGCACAGGTGCATTCCTTGGTCCTTTCATTTCAATTCTCACCCATCATATTGCATACACTCCAGACCTAGTTCCACTGCATTTTTAAAACAAATGGCTGAATGTTTGGTTAGTTTCTGACCATTTCATAACATCTCATCTCTGCTGAGAAACACACTTCATTATCCCAATGAGAAATAATCTCATGTCCTTTAATTTATTTATTTATTTTCCCCAATCAACCAGTTCAAGGATAATATTACACACCTCTGGAACAGGGGGAACTTGAACCCAGACCTTCTGTTCAAGGGGTAGGGACACTATTACTGTGCCATAGAGGGTCTTTTACCCTAACTATAGAATGATGGGTAAAGTTGGAAACAATTGGGCAAAGTAATAATGAAGGGTTCCATATACTATAGAAGTGACAGGGGATGTGTTAAAGGAGTCACTGGGAAAGTTAAGAGCTGCTGGAGTGCATGTCTGTAGGATGTTTTTTGTCATCGCTTCACTTTATATCTGTGGGAATGAAGCTCTGTGAAAGGCAACACCTTCAGGACAATTGGCGAAGAAATCCTGGTTGCGGGAGTGAGGGGTGAAAAATCAAAGGTAGAAGTGTTTTTTAATTCAGTCATGGGATGTGAGCTTCTCTGGCCAGGCCAGCATTTATTGCCCATCCCTAATTGCCCAGAGAGTAGTTAAGAGTCAACCACATTGGTCTGGAGTCACATGTCGGCCACAACAGGTAAGGATGGCAGATTTCCTTCCCTGACCAGCAGCTCCTGTTACCAACTCCCCAACTCCCCATGGAAACCGGCGGCTCCTGTTACTGACTCCCCATGGAAACCAGCAACTCCTGTTAATAATTCCCTTCTGAGGCCAGAAGATCCTGTTCCTGAGCATTCATGAACCAGACGGGTTTTTCCCTCAAGAATCATTTCATAGGCAGACGACACCAGGTTGTAGTCCAAAAAGTTTATTTGAAATCACAAGCTTTCAGAGCACAAGTTCTTCGCCAGGTGAAGGAGCAGCGCCCCAAGAGCTTGTGATTTCAGGTGAACCTATTGGACTTTATCCTGGTGTGGTGTGACCTCTGACTTTGTCCACCCTAGTCCAACACCGGCACCTCCACATCATGGCAATTGTTTCATAGCCATCAGTTGACCCTTAATTCCAGATTCTTTACTGAATTCAAATTCTACCATCTGCTGTGGTTGGATTTGAACCCAGGAGACTGGAACATTAGCTGATTTTCCCGGATTAATAGTCTAGCAATAATACCACTAGGCCATCACAATTATTGATGCTCCTGAGTTTCATCTCGTGGTTTAATATTGGAATAACAGCTGCCCAACACCCTGGCCATTAGCTAGAATCCTTTATGGTACAATTTTATATCCGAGATATTTCTTGTGGAGTGAAAAAATATTCCTGACATTTGTAATTGGTATCAGTAGTCGTGATCCAATAACCCTAGTGATTCTAATTCTGGTTTTACACCTTTAACTATTCATTGCATTCCTGTTACTTTTAATTTCTGAGGTCATACAAGATGATGCTTACAGTAATGGAGACTGCAATATAAAAAGATTTTTGAGGGAAGCTCCTTCTACTATTTAAATAAATTAAGGGATTGTGTATGTGTTGGCTTTGCACTTCTCCCTGGCTGCCCTGTCATATTCTGTTCTAACCTTTCTCCATTCTGTCTCTTCCGGTACCTGTAGGACCCAGTCTATTCCTCTATCTATTCCCCTGTTTGTAGACAATGCCAGTACATCCAGGTGAGCTCCTTCCCTATCCATGATTCATGCCTGTTAACGTGTAAGCTGAGATACTAAATGCATGCTGCTGAGTGACATCTCAGCACTAACTGCTTTGGGCTGTGGGTTTCAGATCTGGCCCAAGCTTTACTATGTCACTGGATCGGTCACAAGGTTACGATTGAGCTGATGCATTTTTCACATCTCCCTCCAGTTTTCTTTCGTCATTCTTCTGTCTCTTTCTCTCTCTGTTCCTGAAGGAAGCATTTTCTTACAAGCTCAGAGAAGCAACGTTCAGTCAGAATGGCCTTGAGTGTATGTGGAGACGAAAGGTGACCATTTAACCATTTTCTGTATTTGGTTTGAGTATATGGGGAATAATGAATACCTGGGAATAGCCCTCTCCTCTTTATAATCAGGTCCCCAGACGACACTGGGAAAAATGGCCTCCTTTTCCCACTCCCACTGAGCATAAAGTATGATTTGCATAATCCTTGAGATTCGTACCTGAACAGAAGTGTGCAGTGTCCTTCACTCTGCATGTGGGTAATCCTATGTGTCAGGGTGTTCCAGAGTCTGCAGGAGACCCAGGAATTGACACATAGCCAGTTCTGATTGTTGCCAGGGCTATGTCACTATACCACTCTACCTCATGGTGTAAGTAATAGAGATGGTTCAGTTTGGCAATGCAGAAGATGAGAGTGCCAGCAGCCTCAGCCATGCCGACATTGATTCTCCAGAGGATCTGCCATTGGGATTCAGATCCATTAATAACAGGAGAACGGGCATTGACTATTGGTAACGTTCCCTCAGAAATCTTTTTACGTTATTTGTTCATTGCTGGCAAGTTCTGCAGCATTTGTTGCCCATCCTTGGGAGCAGTTAAGAGCCAAACACATTGTTGTTGGTCTGGAGTTACGTGTAGACCACAGCACGTAAATTTTCATTCCCTAAAGGATATTAATGAATCAGATAAGTATTTAAATGACAATAAAGTTTTCATGTATCATTGGAACTAATTTTCAATTGCATATTGTTATTAACTGAGTTAAATTTTCACCAGCTACCCTATTGGGATTTGAGCCTGTCCCCCCAGAGCACTGGTTTGGGTCTCTGTATTACTGACTTCCTTATATTTCTGCCTAAAAGAACTACAATCTAATCAAGAGGTTGGAAAAGTAAAATTCACAACATTGAAACTTGACACCACAGATTTGCATTATGAGGGTAACTTTGCATTGCTGCTATGTCTTATGATACTTAAATTTGATTCTGACACCACACAGGCCATTGTTTTGCAATGTGTCTTCCAAGTGATTAAACTTCCCACTTGAAGAATTGCTCAAAAATTACCCCACATAGCCTTATAATCACTCTCTGGTATCCAATTATCTGCTTGAGTATGAGATAGATACACAGTCATGTGTACAGAATAGAGGATTGATGGTGATCTGGTTGAGCTGTTAAAAGGTTTAATAGGATTTGAAAGGGTAGATTATGGAGAAATTCCTCTGGTGGGCAAATCGAGAAGCATGGTACATAATCTTAGAATTGCTGGAAAGTGAGACACCTTGCACCCATGAGGTCAAACACAAAAATGCCACATTTCAACAATCACAACAATGTATACCATTGGAGAAGAGGGTGCTGATTGGTTGGCAACTCCTTTCTGATTATCCAAGGCATTGCCATGGAGAAAGCAATGGAGAACTGTCAGTTCCCCAACCTCTTAGGTGATTTAAAAAAGATCAAAGTTTGAAGAGGTTCAGTTTTTATAGACAACAGGTCCCTGTTGATAAATGTTACAGTTTCAGCTGCTTTATCAATGACCTTCCCTCCAAGATAAGGTCAGAAGTGAGGATGTTCACTGCACAATGTTCAGCACCGTTTGCGATTCCTCAGATAATAAAGCAGTCTATGTCCAAATGCAACAAGATCTGAACAATTTTTCTGAAGAAGGGTCTAGGCCTGAAACGTCAGCCTTCCTGCTCCTCTGATGCTGCTTGGCCTGCTGTGTTCATCTAGCTCTACACCTTGTTATCCAAGATCTGAACAATATCTAGCTTGGGTTGAGAAGTAGCAAGTAACATATAAGCCCCCCAATGCAGGCAATGAACATTTCCAACAAGAAAGAATCTAACTATTGCCTCATGACATTCAGTGGCATTACCACTGCTGAATCCTCTACAATAAACTTCCTGTAGGTTACAATTGGTCAGAAACTGAACTGGACCAGCCATATAAATGATATGACCACAAGTGCAGGCTATAGGCTGGGATCAGTGGTGAGTAGCTCACCTTCTGTCTCCCCAGAACCTGTCCACTATTTATGAGGTACAAGTCAGGAGTGTGATAGAACACTTTCCACTTGCTTGGATGGAGACAGCTCCAACAATATTAGTTGGACCTAGGGCAGGTC